AGAGAGAGAGAGAGAGAGAGAGAGAGAGAGAGAGAGAGAGAGAGAGAGAGAGAGAGAGAGAGAGAGAGAGAGAGAGAGAGAGAGAGATCCCTCCACCCTTCGCGTGCACTCGGACACTCACAAGAGAGAGTAAAAGAGAGAAAGAGAGAGAAAGAGAGCGAAAGAGAGCACAGGAGCCATTTTCCCATGGGCCATTTTCGAGGGTAACTGGCCCAGTTTCTGCACGAATCTGGCACAAAACAGGGCCAGATTCCTTCAATCGTTAATTAAATAGTATCAATAAATCCATCTTTTCCCTATTTTTGAAACCTCTCTCCCTGCCTATCCCCCCCAAAAAAATCTTTTTTTCCCTCTTTTTTTCATGGGGGGTTTCCGTGGGTGCGTGCTCATTTTTCGCACCTGTTCTGCCGCGAAAAGCGGTTCTGAGCACGTGCTCAGGCGGGTTGGGCACAAGTTTAAGCGCGCGCTCGGGCGCTCATAGCACTCAAGTGGTTACATGTCACCACAGTGACTGTGATGTGTTCTAACTTCTAACTTCTAAACCTCTTAAGACTCTTTCACTCTTTCACTCAACTTGGGAGCAACTCCGAGGAAAATGCTGACAGGCCCAGCAGCCAGGGTAAGTCCCCAGTCCGAGTACACCCCCGTCTGGTTCTCTCAAAATGAAGATTTCAATGTATTCAAATTTCAAAAGGACTCCCCTTCCGCAGGGCTTCAGCACTCGATGTGTGGAAGACATGACACCACCCATGCAACCACGGTCGCATTTAAATGGGACACACACACACACACACACACAAAAAAAAAAAAAAAAAAAAAAAAAAAAAAAAAAAAAAAAAAAAAAAAAAAAAAAAAAAAAAAAGAAAAAAAAAAAAAGAAAAAAAAAAACCCTACGTTAATGAATTGGTTACTAGTTCGTGGTACTTCGTACCAATCACTGTATTAACATTTCAAGCTGCTTCAGTTTCATGTAAACACAAACGGATAATAGTCTGTGGTCGGACTTTTTGGAATAAAGATCCCCCCCCATCCCAACCCCACGAACTATATCCCCCACCTGTCCCCTTCCTTTTCAGGTAATGTGTTCCAGTCTCTTTGGCTGTGTGCTTTGCAATAGACAACTTAACAAGTTAATAACAACTATGTCCATTGCCAGGCTCTCTGACAGGTAGGTAGGTAGGGACGCATGCACGCATAATCCTACATGTTGTTTAACGACAAACCAAGGCATAACCACGACAAGGCACAGGCAGCAATGCCATACATGAGATAGCAAAATAAGTGTTTGGACTCTGGCGTAACTCTGACAAACACAGCAGCAGCAGCAGCAGCAGCAGCAAAAACAACAACAACAACAACGATGACAACAACAACAACAAGAACAATACAAAAAACAGAAGAAATTCCGGACATAGGATCGTCCTTCCCTTCAGATCATGTTTGTGTTTCGCTTTCTGAGTTCCCCTGATGCACCGATAGCATCACATGATGCATGAATTGTGGAGTCAAACCAGAAATTGTCCTGCGCAGGTAGTATTTGTATGGAGCAGCCCATCGTCGCTGGTCGAAGATGTGTGTCATCGAGGAGCAGCATAATACCGCTGCTGAAACGCCCTGCCTGCCAACGACTGATAGTGATCCGGTGGTTCCATAGCAAGGGGACCACATTCAACGGACCGAAGGTACACCGGGGACAACAGGCTGATAACTCCGGAGAGCTCATACCAACTATATACTAACGGTCAGCAGCCCCACCCCTCCAAGGTCCAGATCATCAAGCAGAGTGTTGAGAAGAGGGTGGACCAGCAACCAGAGACATCAACTACCCGACTACCCTGGAGTGCAGCGCATGTCCACGATAGAAGTAGGTTGGGGACGAAACTGACAGCGAACATCCCAATGAACAAAGAATCTGATAAGAGGATGAGATGGAACCGTTGCTTGGGAACAAAGATCTGCGACAATCCGCTGACAACTCTTCTACTGAATGAGAGGGGATCACTGCACAGCGGGTGCAGATGGAGCGAGTGTGGCACAACATCATCGCTGGTCTGCGGATGGCACAGGACAGGAATGAGCAGAAGCACGGTATCCTGCAAATAGTAACCACGGAAGTCACTGCGGTGGCAGGCAGCAGGCAAGGCAGGCAAGGCACCCACCACAGAGTTGCATCGGCATATGCAGCAGACGTTCAGCGTGTGTTGTCAGGGGCACACACACAAACCTGTGACAACATTGATTCATGCACACAAACAAATCGAAGCGCCTTCCCTGGAGTAGAAAAACAGCACTTCGATAGACAAGAGCGTAATGTTGCTGACATGCTACAGTGGTCTTCTCCGACACTTCTGTGCGCCTTCCTTGTGAAGAAGCAGCCTTGTCCACAAAACGATTCAGCAAAGAGCCGAGTCGGTAGGTGAAAGAAAGTGACAGCAAGGGCAGAACAGGGGAACACACTGACATTGGAGCATGAAGGGTGACTTCTAAGTGAAAATACCTCGAACTTTCTGAATCCTCTCGCCCCGAAACGACACATGTTGCTGGACTGAGAGGGAAGCAGCTGCACCATGAGCTTCGCTGAAAGAAGAGAATACGACAACCACGTAGCGACACATGTTGCTAGACTGAGAGGGAAGCAGCTGGAACAGCAACCAACTTTTGAGAGACCACTTGAGAGAGAACTGAATGAGCCGACCGCTGTAAGAACAAAGTTGGAAGGACAGCTGAGCGCGCTCAGGGTTCGGAGTCTTTGGACCCTTGGGTTAGCATTTTTTTTGCCAGAACAATGGAAACCTCAGGGTTCAGTCCATATAAGGTCAGCTGACCTGAGGGTTCTGCTCCTTTCGGCGTACGTCTGTGGGCACTGCTCAGCGCTTCAGCCGGAAAGACCCCTCCCTGTCAGAACACCATTCCTATACCGCCGGGCTGAGAAGTTTGTCCACACACAGGGCTGCCAACATCTTCAAGGAAAAGAACATAACAAGCATTGCCGATTACTCGTTCATAGTTCCCAAACTTCACCGACAATCAATCACTAACGCCTTGAAAAACGTGCACTATAATCACAGTGGAGAAGAACTCCACGCGTAGCCAGACAGCCTCCTTCAGCTGATTGCAATACATCTGTGCAACACGACTGAAAAGGATACGCACACTGTCGTCAAGCTGCCGCATGGATGTTGCCACGGAAGGTGATCGTCCGCTAGCCCACTCGATACGGGGTGAATTCTCTCATGCTCCGACGCAGAGTTTCTTTCAATCTTTGTTGTCCGAAATAATCTTGTCTGAGATACTCCTGCGGCGACCACACAAAACGACACAAGTAGCCCACTGTCGGCTATCCGACGAGAATCTTTCTTTTCCTTTTCTTTTTTTCCAAAAAAGGGCGACACCCTTGGATACCATCATCGAACTGAGCGCCCCCTAAGTTAATTCAAAATTGTAACTATTTCACTCATCTGCTCCCCCCCTGGAGTTCGAACTCGGGCCTGTATTTCAACAGCTCAGGGTTGTACCAGCTTAATTCAGTTCTATCTTCTATCCGGTGCGAGCAGCTACGGGGCGTGCCACCTTCATTCAGTTCTATGAACTTGCATCCGATGACAGCAGCAAAGGGGTGTACCAGCTTAACTGCTTATACTAAATATACCATAAGTGGTAATTTGGCTTTTTGGCTTGGAAGTCTTTCTGTATTTTTGACTTCTTATTATTCTTTTCGTTTACTTTTTCTCACTTTTCTTGCTCCAACCAATGCTTTTAAGCGAGACATCGAAAAATGTCATGATGCTCCTACTCTGATGGCAATCCAGTTATATCTTCTAAGTTCTAAACGATGAGAGTCATTCATCCTGACCTTGATAACAAAAAATTGACAGGTTCGAACATCCATTGGGTTGAGTCCAGCCGCAAGTGTGGATATCCGAAAACCCGCCCATCTGGTAAATCTGGACAAGTTGGTGAAGGTGAGCGACTCGCCGACTACTACTTTTCAACCCTCAAAACTGGCATTGCCAGAACTACACAGTAGGCAGATGCTGAATCGGAGACAGTGGTGGGGCTAGGCAGGTGAGCGGGAGAGGGGGATTAGGAAGGAAGACAGTTTGGGATGGGGTTAGATAAAACCACCAGCACAGGGACCCTTGCACCGGGACTTGCCGTCATACACGTGGTGACAGTGACATTGATTTACTGGCCTGCCTGCAGCCGGTCCAATACAGACTCGATGGGAAAATTTCCTGCGCGCCCATCTGTGCGAGGCCACAGCCTCTATGAGCCTCTTTCAGGACCTTTTTAGCAGCACGTCGGCCCCCCTAAGTGAAGACAGGCTCGACGAGGACCTCAGGGCCTCTATTTCGGCCACCGCGCAACGAAGGAAATTCAGGCAGTTGCGCAGCGCCAGTTGGTTGAAAGAACCCAGGCCCTGGGCCGCATATTTGCATGTATCAAAAGCAGGCCCTGGGCTGGATACGGGGTATGGGCCAAACACAGGCCGAAGGCAGTTGGGCACAAGCAACGACCTCAGGCCTGATCTGTTTCGGGCTGGGCCTCAGCCTACCGGGGCCTACCGGAAGCTTCTTGGGAAAGGCCCAGCGCAGCCTGGGACAGAACGCAGGCAGGCCACTTCCATATAGCGAAGGGCCTGCCTCCGCCTTTGGCATTCGGGTGCTGGCTGCATGCTGCGCAAACGCTGCTTCGCTGAAGCTGGCTGGCACTCACGCGCTCACGGGCGAGCAGGAAGGAGGAGGCAGCAATAGCCGAGCTGCACTGCTGTAAGCTGGGTGTGGCGCAGGGTGGTCCTTGGGTGCAAGTGGCATCTGTGTGTTGGGGAACAAGGTTGTGAGTGAGGCGAGAGACATACCTGGTGCTGGAAGCATGCGACATTGGTCGTTGTATGCTCGTACTTCGGGAAAGCTGTTGACGTCATCTTCGGCATTTTAGTCTAGGCTAGATAGGATCTGCCATCTGTAGTCTGGGCGCCGAGCGCCAGATAGGATATCAACATTGGTTCTTCGTTGATGATGATGATGAGACAATTTGAGCATTGTCAATTATGAGCTCTTGGTGTGTTCTTATTTGGTGAAACTCGTGATGCAATTCTGCTGTTGGTTCAAGGTCACGACTATCTGGTCTTATGTGTATGATGCTGTTTGATTGCTGAAGTTCGCTATTGCTCATCTTCCTTGCATCTGGTACTGGTGGTGGTGGTGTTTTTTTTTTTTTTTTTTTTTTTTTTTTTTTTTTTTAATCTGGTACTGGTGGTTTAAGAGTTCTATTTTGCATACTTCTGGTAAACCACATCACCAGGTAGGCCCTCAGTTGGCTGGATCCTGATCTAGATGTCAGGTCTCCGACAGCGACCCAGATGGCCTTGAATGTCAGAACATGCAGATCATGTTTTCTCTACTTTTCTGACATGCTATTGGCCCAGCCCAACTTGGCCCCCACACCCCTTGGCTGGGGTACGGCCCCATATGAACCTAGTGAAAACAAGCAGGAGGTGGATTGCCTGGCCACTTCCGCCTTGCAGGGTTTCCTGCTGGCCCTGCTTGTGAATACCACTGCAGACCAGAGGCCCTATCAGGCCCTGGTACTGTTCCACAATAACCATTCGCCTGATTTGACGGGATCACCCTACTAGCACAGTGGGGTCCTCAAATTTGGAAGTCCCTTGAATCTGGATGAGGCTATTGCCAAATTTGACCTTAGCCCCCGCCCCTCAGGCAAACGTTGACATCATCCTCTGCTGTTCGTCAATAACCCCACAAGCCTTCTTCTTCTACTCTTCTTCTCTTTTCTTCTGCTTCCTCTTCTTCTTCTTCTTCTTCTTCTTCCTTGTCATCATAGTTTGCATCCTTGTTGACAAGGGCATACATACATATGCAAGAGCATTACACACCACACACACACCACACATCACACACATACAGACATACACACACATACACACACATACACACACATACACACACATACACACATACACACACATACACACACAAACACACACAAACACACATAAACACACATAAACACACATACATGCCGTTCATAGCTTCATACATGCATAAGATACATAGAATGGCATGCATGTACTTTGTGAATCTGTGGCTTCTGCATACACACACATAGATAGTCGAATGTGACGTGATCAAACATTACGGTGCTCTCTGCACCAACGTAACTTTTGTCCGCAGAGAATGAAAAGCCAAGCTGTGCGATGTGTTCACTTTTTGCATGAATCAAGAAAAGCAAACTGTGTGACTGCACATTGGTCGACAGACTCGACACAGACAACGCACAGAAAACCAAGGTGTGGCACACAATTGGCACAGCAAGTCATGAGGGTTAACCCTGTGAGCAGGCATTGATGCAAACAAGTGAATGAGAAATGAGCACCCGTACAGTACATGATCTCAGTGCCATAACACCTTGGCCCCCCTCCATTTCTTCACAGTAGCGAATGTTTTCTTTTTCTTTTCTTTTTTTCCTTTTTTTTTCCTTTTTTTTAACCACGGCAGGCTACTAGGGCGGGTGATGTCAACAGCCCTCCCTACTTGCCCCCAGTCTGCAGTTACTCTGATCTATTGGTTAAAAGGATCACCTGTCCCATAACCGACAGTCTCAAACATAACACGAACCCCATCCGAAGGCTTGATAGACACCATCTTTCTTCTGTCAGGTCGTTCCATAATAACCGTGTATACACTGCTCAGCCAAGTTCGCCCTAGTAGGATACTCGAGCTGCAATCCTTGATGTCGAATATCGGCAAAGAGGTTTTAACCCCTTCTGTATCGGACGCGGTTGCGTTGTCACCTCAATGCTCTAGCCGGGGCCACCACGCCAGACGTACCTCTCGCGGTCCACTACGACAGGATAGGTTTCCGTGAGGCACAACTTAGGGGTGTATCCCTACCGAGCTACTGACTCCGCACCATTGTATGTCCACCAGAGAAAGTCCATGGGGTGGGGAGAGATCCGGGAACTCCAAGGGGGGCCGGAGGGGAATCGCTGCGGTCGGCTTAGTCCAGTCACAGCTGCATCCGTACCATTTCATGTCCACCAGAGTAAGTCCATGGGGTGCGGAGAGATCCGGGAACTCCAAGGCGGGCCGGAGGGGGAATCACTGAGTCCAGCTTAGTCCAGTTCCTGAAGACTATACCGTAGTCCCGCCAGAACGCTACTAGACTTGAATCCTGTTGGCCGCCTTGCTCCCGTGCTCGCTACCCAGCCATTCATCCGAAAACTGTTTCGATGCCCTCGTGATGTCGTTCTTTGTGCGAGCAATGTCGAGCCAGTACCATTAGATCTTGTTGAATTCGTTACTTCGCCATTTCTGTGAATTATTCTCCCTCTATTTGTACGATTTCTCAAACATATATATGCATCTTTTCCTCCAGAGAGCCCAGAGGACTGCCTTTCTTCCGATCTGGAACATATTATCCTTGTGAAAGCATTGTCCTTTGTTCCGATCTGGAATGTGTTTTCCTTTGTTCCGATCTGGAATGTGTTTTCCTCGAAAGCGTTGTTGGAGGGAGAGTACCATGCCCCGCATAAGAGGGCTCTCCATTCCTTGGCCAAGTGGCTTCCGTCCCTAGTTGGCACGAGATCCTGTCCCACCAGCCCCAAGTTAAGATTGCCCCCGGGCACTGCAAAGATATGTTTTCTGTGGTTTCCCGGATTTTGCGAGAGGAGAAGGCGCTCAAGCATGACTTACACACGGGGAGAGCCAAGCCATTCTGCTCCAGATTGGTAAGATCTATTAAGGCAATCGTTGCTGGGCAGGCAGCGATGCGCTGTCTGCCATTGCAGGGAGGCTACTTTGGCAGGTTTAGACTCGGTCATCTAGAACCGGCAGATCGGCCGGATCTCTTCCCTTCCCACATTGAGGTGGTTCATCCAATGGTTCGTTACGACTTCTCTAAGTAGCGAATATCGTGCATACAGACAAACAAAATCACGGAGAGTGAAGCACAAACCAACAAAACACTTGTGCAGTACATGCCGCATGTCATTGAAAACGAAGCGAAAATGAGCAACACATCCGTGATCAGCATGACTAAAAATAAACTTCACGCACAAACTTGCTGTAAAGAGTAGGGTCATGGAACAAACCTTTCAGGAGGTCCTGCTATCCTCAAAGGGGATGATTGGGCTGTTCCCTTGCTGGGGGGCAGCTCCTTCACGAGAAATTCTGTGAGGACCTGCAAGCCCTGATCACACAGAAGAGACCAGAATTCCACAGGTTTACAGGTTTGCAAGCTCATTCATTATGTAAGAAAAAAAAAAAAAAAAAAAAAAAAAAAAAAAAAAAAGCTCATTCATTATGTAACCATAGTAAAACCTCAAGGGAAGCAAAAGAAGGATCATGCTGGTTCATAATCATCACGTTCATGCAACTGGATCTGCTTGGAGGTAGAGGTGCACTTGCAGAATACCCTTCTTAGCATCAACCAATAGACGGGGGTTAAATAGGCAAAACACATCCGTGCTTATCCCTGATCACACTTCACACTGGCCTAATCAGTGGGAGCCCTCTGGTCTGTGCTTTGGCAGCTGGTCAGCACTCACATCGAGAACAGGGTTCAGGAAATGGACTCCATTGACGAGGCCCAGAAGGTTCTGGACAAATGCATCAAAACCTCTGCACAGCAAGCGAGTTCCAAATAGCATGACAGTGAAATGATGATAACAATGATGATTATGATAACCGCGATGACAAGAAGGCCCAGTGCAGATTCGCCCACATCAGAAAAAGCAATGGCTGGGACTCCCCTGGGAGAGCGAGGAGTGTATGGTGGGTGTCAGATAGAAAACAGGAGGAGGAATGGCAAAACTGTGATGCCTAAAGGCAGTTTTGGTTGGCTCAAGAAATTTACTTGATGACATGCATTCCCGCATAGAGGGCAGGTAGGGGCTGAAAAAATAAAGAACCATCATCAACAATGATCGCAGCATGCGGAGGAGAGAGAGAAGAGAGAGAGAGAGAGAGAGAGAGAGAGAGAGAGAGAGAGAGAGAGAGAGAGAGAGAGAGAGAGACGCATGATGAGCAGGCAGCAAGGAATGTTCGCTTAAAATTCAAGATGTTGTGTTTTAACAATTTCTGTGTATTCCATTGACTCCTTTCCCAATACTCCAGAGTTACCACTGTGGTAGATGAGCTTTGATTTTGGACCCTGATTGGAGGAAACTTGGATTACTCTCTCTCTGGCAGTTCTGCTGCACGCTAAAGAAAGCGCTTGCATACCACCATATGCGACCTTGTTCTCGGGTAGATGTATGTGACTCCACGGTTGGCTAGGTTGTCAGCACCCATTCTTCTATGACATATCTCACCACTGTCACCAGCCCTAGCTCTCTTATCTGCAGGTCAAAGGGATACATTCTCGTCATGTATTCTGCGCTCCTCCGAGTGTCCCCATTGTTCCCTCTCTTAGATCCATGACAACTAACACCCGCCAATCAATGATTTGGCTTATCGCAGACCGAACGTACTGTGCTGACTGGAGGTGGACACCCCTGCCTAAGTGGATGTATAGGAAACCACGCCTGCCCAGTACGACCAGTCAGCAGGGCACTAGATAATCAACATGCTGCCCTCTGTTCCACGGATCCAGACTCTAGTCAGGCACTGACAACTCACTGCACCCTTCTGCTCATTGTGAAAGACCACCGGGCATAGTGTGTCCCCCTCTCCTCCCTCTGCCCTGCATCCTTCTTTACGTCCTCCGTTTCATCATCCCCTCCTCCACGTCCTTCCTGACCATCTTCCTTGGACCTCGCCTCCCTACATGCTTCACCTGCCGCGTCCCCCTCTCCTCCCTCTGCTCTGCATCCTTCTTTATGTCCTCCGTTTCATCATCCCATCCTCCACGCCCTTCCTGACCATCTTCCTTGGACCTCGCCTACCCACACGCTTCACCTGGCTACTCAATGCTTCCCCACTCCAACATCCTCTTCCACCTTTGGTTAACGGCGCCTCCCTCCATCGGTCAACTTCATGGAGAACTGCCCGACGATCTACGCCCTGGCCTCTCCTCTCTTTTTTCTTTTCGGTGAAATGGCGGAGGAAGTTTCGAGAAGTCCATGCCTTCCCGGCATCCGCCTATGTCAGCCGAAAATGATCTCTCCTGCCTCCAGGCTGAAACGATCCGTTTTTTCCTCGATGTCAACTCATCACGCAGCCCGAAAAGAAAAGAAACCAATCCTGACGGGACGGAATAAAATTTTGCATCGCAGCAACTTACAGCACGTTCCACGCCTGACAATAATGCCCAACACTCTCTAGCGCTAGCACATCCAGTGCACTATTTCCTGCGCTATCGCCGCTATGCCATTTTCCATGGTGTTTAACAGCACATCTTATAAAATTGCATTTTCAATAGCATAAATAGGGAATCCCAATGAAATTCATTCCACGACTTCTACAAGCCCGTTCTTTTTCATCTTCCCACAAGCTGACACACGCTGGCAAATGCCTATCCAACATCTCACATTCACAATGCAGTCTGACACAAAACGGGCCTTGTGCGCCGCCCCCAACATCTGCAATTTGTCACATCCACATGTCCAGGAAGGAATGCAACTGCAAACCTGGCTTCATTGATATATACACCTGTGTGTGTGGGTGGGGGGGGGTGGCTGGCGGCTGGTCAGGCAGACAGGCGGGCAGGCAGGCACTGGTATGGGTGGATGTGTGGCAGGCAGGTGGGCATGTGGCCAGCCTGCCTGAAAAACTTCCCATTCAGTTCGCACCATGGCTAGACCGGAACCGAACCTGCTCAGCCCATGTCCGGGGACCAGATCTATGTCCAGTCGGGTCCAGACCTCCGGTCTTTCGGACACATCTGTTGATCATCGAAGGAGGTGAGGTATGCTTCTTCGGCTTGTACAAAACGATATTCTTTTGCAGCAGCCGATCATCTGTTGATCCGTTGACCGCTCAACAGCTGACGGCCAGTAGTACAACCTCGCTTCCCAAGCAGTCGACTACTGTCTTCCACTGTGATGAGAAAAGCCACTGTTTCATACTACTCCTTCGTTCTTCTGGAAATTAGAACATCAAGAGTTGTCAGGGTCCCCTTGCGACCCTGGCATAAGATCAACCCACACATGATGCCATTGAGACCCTTTTCTGGAACAAATGAAGACCGCACTATATAGATCTAACAGGCGAGTACTGTACTCTCCATCACATTGACTGGCAAAAGGAAAAAACGAAACCACACAATGGATGAGAATTCGCTAACAATGTACTGATGATCAGCAAGATGAGTACTTGTTGATCTCTCCAGTCTTGTCGGAGTCACAATCTGCATCCGTCCCCCCCCCCCCCCCCCCCCCCCCCTGCTGGAATAAATCATGACCACCATGGGTGTGACATGCTGGTTGCATGCACTCCATCAACATCCATTCCGAGATAACTCGAAAATGAAAAACGCAAAAGGGACACCATGGAAGAGAACTTGCAAGCATTGTACCTGACGACCAGTAAGTTGAGGAGTACTTCTTGTTGATCGCTCCAGTCTTGCCTGAGATACATTCTTCACACTCTGCAACGATCACCCCATACATGCAAGGCAACCAGCAAAAAGAGACGATCATCAGACTCAACCACCAACCCTGATCAGCACATTAGACATCTCTGTTACACAAAGCTCAGAAGTCAAGACAATTGATCAAGCTCCTACAGAATTTCATTTTTTTGGCCTCCGGCATGCATGGAGGCCAACCTGAGAGTTGGTATAGGTTCAAGGGAGGATCAGCGAGCACTAAAAGTAAAGCATTGTGAAAAGGTATCTCGCCAGGGCTCAGAAACGTGAAAGCAGGTCAAAGGTCAAGTTCTCTATCAACAGGCATATCTAAAGCTAAGACAAAGGGCATTGTCAAAAGACTTACCTGTTCACCAGGAGATGTGTATGTCATGTCTGTTCGGGTAAGAGTGTTTCTGTACGTGCAGGCAGTGTACCTGTTCGTGCAAAGTAAAGTGTCTGTTCAAGCAGTAAATGTGTCTGTTCGTTGAGAGTTGTGCCTGTCCGAAAGTAAAGTCAATAGGCACAGTCCCAGTTCTGGTGTAAGTCCAGGGGTCAGTCCAGATCCAGACTTTCAAGTCCAAATTCAGGCCGGGAGGCCTCAGCAGCAGTTGAACTTCATTGGGACTCTACTGGGACACATGCAATGCAGGGTCTGGGACAAAAGGAAGGCTGGATTGAGCCAATGCAGACCCAGCGAGGAGTATAAAGGAGGCAGCCAGCCTCATTCCTCGCCAGATCTCCACTGGCTGTTTCAGCGTGGAAGTGCTGGAGCACTTGTGCGCTAAGTYAGTAGGAGCAGCGCTGGAGGAAGYAGATGCGCTGAGTGAGGGAAGAGGATTGCATGCTGGAAGTGATGCAGCCATAGCTGCCCAGCAAGTTAGCATTAGTAGTAGTGGGTTAGTATGTAGCTATGAGTAGTATTCAGAGTAGATCCTCATGAATGAAGGGTGTGTATGCATCGTAGGAGGAAGAGATTGAGGCTGAGAGTGTTCATTCAAGGTTGGGCTATGGAAGATACTTACCTGAGTTGAATGTGGGCTGTAGAGGTGGCGCTGATGGGTAGTGACCACATTGATGACTTGGAGGTTATCTGCAGTAGCGCTGATTCACTGGAAGTCATATTGATGAGCTGACAAGAGATTGGGGTTGTGCTGATGAGCGCTGGACTCAGGGGAACTTTGAAACACTTTGTATTCATATTTCTGATAATATAAGCTGTGAAACTCGGTCCTCTTCTTCTTTACCTTTGTCTATGGTTGATACTATTGATCGCTGTGTGTGAAGATGATGCATGACATGTACACATCTGTGTGAGATGGTCCCCAGGACCCATGCAAAAAAGAACAGGCGGGGCTGACGGACCATGTTGTCTCTGGTTCCTTCATTCAATGAACGGCCGACATCTGATGATATGGCTGCACGATCGAGCGGAACGAACAATGATAACTGGCCTGGCGCCAACCCATTTGAGGGATGTCTGCAACACAGACGTCTCTCTCTCTCTCTCTCTCTCTCTCTCTCTCTCTCTCTCTCTGTGAAGGGAAAAAAAAAACACACACACACGACAAGAAAAACAAACCAAAAAACGGTGTACATGGCTAGGGAAAGGGCTCACAAACCGCTGCACCCCTGGTTCAGTCCCGAGTCCTGAGTCCCAGGTCCCAGCCCCAACTCCCAGGACATAGTCCCAGGTCTCATTCCGTGTTCCATTAGTTGTTCCAGCCACTTGTACAATAATCACGAACACTCCAGAAGAGTAGTTTTGTTTGTACCATTATTATGGATACCTAAGCAGGTTAGTTAAGTAGATCGTGGTAGAAAGTCCCTGCTACACAGCAGTTATGGGTTAAAGAGTCTACTTTTAGAAGGTACCACGAGCCTGAGCAAAGATCACAAAGGCTGTTACGCAAAACAGCCAGGTCCAAGGAGAGTCCGTAAGCTTCCAGAAGCAGCAAACAAGGATAGGGGAGCCAACCCATAACCAGCAGAAGATGCCTGGAAGGCGAAGCAGCAAGTATAGAAGTTCAGCTGCACCCCGACATCAACAGAGTCTGTTGGGCACTCAATGCGGAAGCACTGCTGCGGTCTTGTAGGTTGGAGAGACGACCAAGTCAGTGAGAGTGAGCGTAGTGCACTGTAGTCAATGGCGCTGGGTGCCATAGCCATAGCTGAGTAGTGTGAGAGAGAGGAAGACATTCTGAGAGGCGAGTAAGGACTGGCAGGTGAGAGAGAGAGAGCAAAGAGAGAGAAGAGAGGGAGACTTGCCTGCATGCTGAGTTGCGCGGCCATAGCCGCTGGTGATGAGGAGGACGATCAAGTTTGTGTCGATTTCAGACTCTTTCGGACATTGTGTCTCACGTGAGTGTGGTGCGATGCGGAACTCGTGTTGGAGTGTGCCATGCATGGAGGTTTCATCGCACTGGAATGTGCAGGTCCCTCTAGCTCTCTCACCATTCCGAACGGGGAAAACAAACTGTTTTACGAGTATCAAAACTTCCATAATGCGTCATCAGACTCATCACCCAGGAAGATCTGGTTCAAGGATTAAGAAGGCTAGCTCAGCGAGAGCAGTTTAACGGACGCCAAAATTTTCAGAGAATTTGTCATGCCACTTATAACAAAACCCAAGGGTCATTTTAACCAAACTTGCCACCAATTCATAGAGTGGAGACCATACTAACTACTTGCAAAAGAAAAAGAAAAAAAAACACCAAAAAAAAAAAAACACGAAAAAAGTTTCATCAACTTTCATGCAAAAAAACACGAAAAAGTTTCAAAAAACAAAATAAAAACCCTATAAAACAGCAAGGCAAAACCGCACTTTCATGCAAATTTCGCCAACATAACAATTTCAGAAATCTCTAAGACATTTCACAAATCTCAGCGGAGGAATTTCCAATACTCCAAATGAGACCAAATTTGGCACACCGCAACCTTGAACCAAAACAAACACAGGCAAAAAACAAAAAAAAAAAAAAAAAAAAAAAAAAAAAAAAAAAAAAAAAAAAAAAAAAAAAAAAAAAAAAACCCCACGAAGTTTGACCTTTGAAGCCCAAACCCCGAAATCAGTTTTGAAGTTTGAACCCATTAACCAAGGAGCTGAAAGTGGCGGTCCCCGTTAACCACTTGTGAATTTCGTAGTGAAACTAAACCCCCGCAGTCCAGATCACCATGAAATAGGGCAAAGCATACAATTAAAAGTCAATGTTCTAGGAGGATGACAATTGGTTAGACCTAGAGTCCTAGGGCGATCACACCCGCCCACTTCAACATCCAAAAGATGAGACAGAATGAAAAGCGAGAACTCGGTGCGCAGCGTACGCCCGCCCACTCTGCTATAGAGGACATTGCCGAGGCAGACAGTGTGATCCCACTGACATGTACAGAGCCGAGCCTCTTCTAGTGCATGGGTCCTGGAGACCATCTCACCCAAGTGTGTACATGCCATGCATCGTTCTCCCACACACAACGAACAGTAGTCTGATAATAGACAAAGGTAGAGAAGATGAGAACCGAGTTTCACAGCTTATATTATCAAAAATATGAATACAAAGTGTTTCAAAGTTTCCCTGAGTCCAGCGCTCATCAGCGCAACACCAATATCTTGCCAACTCATCAATATGCCTTCCAGTGAATCAGTGCTACCCCTG